TTTTGGGGTGAATTTGGAGGATTCTGGGGTTCCCGAGGGGATTTTGGGGTAAATTCAGGAAATTTTGGGGTCCCTGAGGGGATTTGAGGGTAAATTTTGGGGATTTTGGGCAAATTTTGGGGCTCCCAGGTGGATTTTGGGGTGAATTTTGGAGATTTTGGGGTAAATTCCGGAGATTTTGGGGCTCCCAGGTGGAATTTTGGGGTGAATTTGGAGGATTCTGGGGTTCCCGAGGGGATTTTGGGGTAAATTCAGGAAATTTTGGGGTCCCTGAGGGGATTTGAGGGTAAATTTTGGGGATTTTGGGCAAATTTTGGGGCTCCCAGGTGGATTTTGGGGTGAATTTTGGAGATTTTGGGGTAAATTCCGGAGATTTTGGGGCTCCCAGGTGGAATTTTGGGGTGAATTTGGAGGATTCTGGGGTTCCCGAGGGGATTTTGGGGTAAATTCAGGAAATTTTGGGGTCCCTGAGGGGATTTGAGGGTAAATTTTGGGGATTTTGGGCAAATTTTGGGGCTCCCAGGTGGATTTTGGGGTGAATTTTGGAGATTTTGGGGTAAATTCCGGAGATTTTGGGGCTCCCAGGTGGAATTTTGGGGTGAATTTGGAGGATTCTGGGGTTCCCGAGGGGATTTTGGGGTAAATTCAGGAAATTTTGGGGTCCCTGAGGGGATTTGAGGGTAAATTTTGGGGATTTTGGGCAAATTTTGGGGCTCCCAGGTGGATTTTGGGGTGAATTTTGGAGATTTTGGGGTAAATTCCGGAGATTTTGGGGCTCCCAGGTGGAATTTTGGGGTGAATTTGGAGGATTCTGGGGTTCCCGAGGGGATTTTGGGGTAAATTCAGGAAATTTTGGGGTCCCTGAGGGGATTTGAGGGTAAATTTTGGGGATTTTGGGCAAATTTTGGGGCTCCCAGGTGGATTTTGGGGTGAATTTTGGAGATTTTGGGGTAAATTCCGGAGATTTTGGGGCTCCCAGGTGGAATTTTGGGGTGAATTTGGAGGATTCTGGGGTTCCCGAGGGGATTTTGGGGTAAATTCAGGAAATTTTGGGGTCCCTGAGGGGATTTGAGGGTAAATTTTGGGGATTTTGGGCAAATTTTGGGGCTCCCAGGTGGATTTTGGGGTGAATTTTGGAGATTTTGGGGTAAATTCCGGAGATTTTGGGGCTCCCAGGTGGAATTTTGGGGTGAATTTGGAGGATTCTGGGGTTCCCGAGGGGATTTTGGGGTAAATTCAGGAAATTTTGGGGTCCCTGAGGGGATTTGAGGGTAAATTTTGGGGATTTTGGGCAAATTTTGGGGCTCCCAGGTGGATTTTGGGGTGAATTTTGGAGATTTTGGGGTAAATTCCGGAGATTTTGGGGCTCCCAGGTGGAATTTTGGGGTGAATTTGGAGGATTCTGGGGTTCCCGAGGGGATTTTGGGGTAAATTCAGGAAATTTTGGGGTCCCTGAGGGGATTTGAGGGTAAATTTTGGGGATTTTGGGCAAATTTTGGGGCTCCCAGGTGGATTTTGGGGTGAATTTTGGAGATTTTGGGGTAAATTCCGGAGATTTTGGGGCTCCCAGGTGGAATTTTGGGGTGAATTTGGAGGATTCTGGGGTTCCCGAGGGGATTTTGGGGTAAATTCAGGAAATTTTGGGGTCCCTGAGGGGATTTGGGGGTAAATTTTGGGGATTTTGGGGCTCCCAGGTGGATTTTGGGGTGAATTTGGGGGATTTTGGGGCTCTCAGGTGGGATTTTGGGGTGAATTTGGGGGATTTTGGGGTAAATTCGGAGGATTTTGGGGTGAATTTGGGGGATTTTGGGGTGAATTTGGGGATTTTGGGGTGAATTTGGGGGATTTTTGGGGGATTTTGGGGTAAATTTGGGGGATTTTGGGCAAATTTGGGGGATTTTGGGGGTCCTAGGTGGAATTTTGGGGTGAATTCAGAGGATTTTGGGGTCCTTGAGGGGTTTTTGGGGTAAATTTTGGGGATTTTGGGCAAATTTTGGGGCTCCCAGGTGGATTTTGGGGTGAATTTTGGAGATTTTGGGGTAAATTCAGGAGATTTTGGGGCTCCCAGGTGGAATTTTGGGGTGAATTTGGAGGATTTTGGGGTTCCCGAGGGGATTTTGGGGTAAATTCAGGAAATTTTGGGGTCCCTGAGGGGATTTGGGGGTAAATTTTGGGGATTTTGGGGCTCCCAGGTGGATTTTGGGGTGAATTTGGGGGATTTTTGGGGGATTTTGGGGTGAATTTGGGGATTTTGGGGCTCTCAGGTGGAATTTTGGGGTGAATTTGGGGGATTTTGGGGTGAATTTGGGGCATTTTTGGGCCACCCGCTGTCCCCAGGGGGGAGGTGACACCGCCAGGCCCCCCCTGCCCCCCCCCTTTGTCCCCTCAGGTGACCCCGACGGAGCCCGAGGGCGGCGCCACCGAAACGTCCCCGAATGTCCCCAAAACGTCCCCGAATGTCCCCAAAACGTCCCCAAATGTCCCCAAAACGTCCCCGAGTGCCACCTCCCAGTGACACCAGAGCGTCCCCAAAGCGCCACCCAAGTGCCACCAAAGTGTCCCCCAAAGTGTCCCCAAGGGCCACCGAAGTGTCCCCAGAGGCCACCAAAGTGTCCCCAAGTGCCACCTCCCAGCGCCACCAAAGCGTCCCCAGGTGTCCCCAGGTGCCACCACCCCCTGAATGTCCCCAAAGTGTCCCCAAGGTGCCACCACCCCCTGAATGTCCCCAAAGTGCCACCATCCCTCGGGGTCACCGTCCCCAAGGTGCCACCACCACCGCCCTGGCCCCAGAGTGTCCCCAAAGTGCCACCCCCGAATGTCCCCAGAGTGTCCCCAAAGTGCCACCCCTGAATGTCCCCAGGTGTCCCCAAAGTGCCACCCCCGAATGTCCCCAGGTGTCCCCAAGGTGCCACCACGGCAGTGCCACCGTGTCAATAAATGTCCCCAAAGTGCCACCTCCCCTCATGTGATTGTGTCCCCGAGGTGTCCCCGAGGTGCCACCCCTGAATGTCCCAGAGTGTCCCCAAGGTGCCACCGCCCCCTGGTTCCCACCTTGGTGTCCCCTCAGTGCCACCCCGGTGTCCCCAATGTCCCCTCAGTGTCCCCAGTGTCCCCTCAGTGTCCCCTCAGTGTCCCCTCAGTGTCCCCAGTGTCCCCTCAGTGTCCCCAGTGTCCCCTCAGTGCCACCCCAATGTCCCCTCAGTGTCCCCTCAGTGTCCCCTCAGTGTCCCCAGTGGCCCCTCAGTGTCCCCTCAGTGCCACCCCAGTGTCCCCTCAGTGTCCCCAATGTCCCCCCAATGTCCCCAATGTCCCCTCAGTGTCCCCTCAGTGTCCCCAGTGTCCCCCCGGTGTCCCCAAGCAGTGACGCTGCCACCGAGGGGGGGTGGGGACCCCGAAGGGACACGGGGACACCTTGGGGACATCGGGGGGGGGGGGGCGCGGGGGGAC